ATTTTTTGCCTAAAATATAAAATTTTTTAATTTTTGATTTTAATTTTAATTAAATTTATTTGAGCAAAATCGGAATAGTGGTTCTCGAGTTATGTCAAAAAAAAGACCACCAAAGGTGACAATTTCCCCTATATGATAATTACTAACTTCAAATCGATATATCTCGATTCCTAGACGTGACCCAGCGAAACGCCGGGACACGTATAACTTCTTTTTTACCGATATAACTTTTCCCGGTAGTTTGAACCCTTCCCGATTACTGACCCCTACCATTTGTCTCACAGTGTTATTAACTATTGATATTATTCGTAATTAAGCATTGATATTATAGTACTTCATAGGATGGTTCCGTGCGCAGAAGTGGAAAACTTTTGACTGCCATTCACCTGGGAGTGGCCAGAAGCGATTCTTGTGCGTACGGTTCAAATCGCAGCTCACAACGTCCGGATATTTATATCCACGTATCCTCTAGGTAGCAACCAAACACCCGTTTGAGAGCGAGCTAAAGTGAGAAGGCGTAAAACTTCGCGACCGCTGGGTTTGGGTCCCGCCACGTTAAAATCCCGCCCAATGAAAAGAAAAAAACAGCCTCGGATGAGACCCCCTTTTTCTGATGACGACCACGGCAAACGCATAAAGGACTATGATTTAAGGGTATGCACCTGGAATATCCGGACCTAAATGGGGAAGGTGCCTCTGCCCGGCTGTTTGATGTCCTCGGGAAGACAAAGGCTGACATCACCGCCATCCAAGAAATGCGATGGACGGGGCAAGGAAAAGTAAGCGTGAAGCCTTGCGACGTCTACTACAGTTGCCACGTAAAGGAGCGCAAATTCGGTGTTGGATTCGTGGTAGGAGAGAGACTCCGTCGCCGAGTACTGGCGTTCACCCCGGTGGACGAACGTCTAGCCACAATCCGCATCAAAGCTAGATTCTTCAACATCTCGCTCATCTGCGCCCATGCCCCGATGGAAGAGAAGGATGAGGCGTCCAAGGATCTCTTCTATGAGCGCTTGGAACGTACATATGAGCGTGTCGTGTCGGGACACGATGTCAAAATCGTGCTTGGCGATTTTAATGCCAAGGTGGGCAAGGAAGGGATCTTTGGCGGCACTGTCGGAAAATTCAGCCTCCACGACGAAACGTCCGATAACGGACTGAGGCTGATCGACTTCGCCGGGGCCCGAAATATGGTAATATGTAGTACTAGGTTCCAGCATAAGAACATCCACCAAGCTACATAGCTGCCTCCAGATCGAAAAACGAGAAACCAAATCGATCATGTTGTGATAGACGGAAGGCATGCTTCAAGCGTTTTGGACGTACGTACACTCCGAGGACCAAACATCGACTCGGACCACTATCTTGTTGTAGCCAAGATACGCACCCGCCTCTGTGCAGCAAAAAA